TAAGTAAAACCCTAATTGTGATCAATCATCAAGCATTCATGAATGCTATCCTTTGACTTCCTATCACTTAACAAGTAAACTACTCAGACATAGAGAAGGAAATCGAATTCATATTCATAAGAACAGAGATTCGAATCCTCTCTAGAAAGAGTAACAAGCAAGAACAAAGTAAAAGCAAGCAAAACTTTATTAAGATGTAAAATAGATTGTGGTCTCTCTCCTTCTTGAGTTACAAGGCTAAAAAGAAGTATTTATAATGCTCTAAGTATAAGAAGACGGCTAAACCTAATCTAGCTAGGCGGCGCCGGTCTTTGGGCTTGAATTGTGCGGATTGGGCTTCAAAAACGGCTTCGGGTCGACCGCGGCGTTCGGACGGTCGTGCGGGACGGTCGGCCGGACAGTCGGGTCTTTGGCCGAGTCGGAACGGTCGGGGCCGGATGATATCACGGTCGGCCGGCTTGGTCGAGCGGATGAGATTTGGCCGATGGATTCTCGGCCGGACGTGGGCGATCTTCCCCGGCTCGGACGGTGCATTGGCCGTGGTACGCGGAAGGGTTGCGCGGCCGCGAGGCTTTGTTTCCCGGCTCGCGCGCTTGGTCGTGCGCGGCGTGGCATGATCGCTTGCTTGGCCGACCGCGGGCTTGAGTTTCCCGGGTCGTGATGCGTGATCGGCCGATGGTTTGGACTTTGGCCGAGACATCAGTCGGACGAATACGGTTTTGGCCGAGCGCGGAACATTCGTTCCTCGGCCAGCCGGACTGCGCGTTCGGGCGCTGATTCTCGATATGGCCGTCTGGAGCAGCCTTCACTCTTTTGGCTATAACTCCTTTTCTACTCATCCAAATTAGGCCGTTCCACTTGCATTGGAAAGTTAACTCAATCAGAGCACGCAGGGAACTGGTCTTGATGAAATCCATTGAGTAGATCTTTTTCTAGCTCCATCCAAAGTTGATGCAGGGGCATTGAACTGGTTTAGAGTCCAAATCTCCTGTTTTGCTCCATAATGCACCTTTTTACCTAAAATGACTCTTTGCACTATAAATCCATAAAAACTACCTTTTAACACAAGAATCCACTAGAAAACCATTAGAAAACCATAGTAAAATAGCATAAAAAGTAGGTAAAATAGAGGTATATCAGTCAGCCCTGTACATGTCGTGCCAAAGAAAGGAGGGATCACAGTCATCAAGAATGAACATGATGAGCTCATTCCAACAAGGACAATCAATGGACACAGAATGTGTGTCGACTACAGGAAAGCTGAACTCCTCCACGCGCAAGGACCACTACCCCTTGCCATTCATAGACCAGATGCTTGAGCGCCTTGCCAATCATCAATACTACTGTTTCTTGGATGGATACTCAGGATTTTTCCAAATTCCAATCCACCCAGATGATCAGGAGAAGACTACATTCACTTGTCCCTATGGCACATATGCTTATAGGAGAATGCCTTTTGGATTGTGCAATGCTCCAGCTACATTCCAAAGGTGTATGATGTCCATATTCACAGATCTAATAGAAGAGATTATGGAGGTTTTCATGGATGATTTCTCAGTATATGGTTCTTCCTTTGAATCATGTTTGGGAAATCTTGGAAGAGTGCTACAGAGATGTGAAGACAAGCACCTAGTTCTAAATTGGGAGAAGTGCCACTTTATGGTTAGAGATGGAATAGTGCTTGGACATAGATCTCAAAGAGGCATAGAAGTTGACAAGGCCAAGATTGAAGTAATGACAAACCTTCAGCCGCCCAAGACAGTTAAAGATATCAGAAGCTTCCTAGGACATGCTGGTTCTACAGGAGGTTCATTAAAGATTTCTCACAGATAGCAAGGCCGCTAACACGCCTTTATGCAAGGATTAACTTTGAGTTCACAGAGGAGTGTCACAAGGCTTTCACTAAGATCAAAGAGGCATTGGTCAGTGCGCCAGTGGTTCAACCTCCAAACTGGGAACTACCTTTTGAGATAATGTGTGATGCAAGTGATTATGCAGTAGGAGCAGTGCTTGGACAAAGAAAAGACAAGAAGCTACATGTGATCTATTATGCCAGCAGAACACTTGATGAGGCACAATGCAAGTATGCCACAACAGAAAAGGAGCTTCTTGCTATTGTCTTTGCATTTGAGAAATTTCGATCATACTTGGTGGGATCAAAAGTTATAGTTCATTCTGATCATGCAGCATTAAGGTATCTCTTATCCAAGAAAGATGCCAAGCCAAGATTGCTGAGATGGATACTACTATTGCAAGAATTTGATCTTGAGATCAAGGATAGAAGAGGAGCAGATAATGGAGTAGCTGATCACCTTTCAAGGATGAGAGTTGAAGAAAATCTACCTCTTGATGATAGGCTACCTGAAGAACAGTTTATGCAGCTGAAGCTAGCAATAAGCATGGACAACTAAGCCATCACAGGCCAGGAACAAAGATCTCATCATCAAACACACCATGGTTTCGCCACATAGCAAACTTCCTTGCAGCTGAATACCCACCACCAAACTTCTTTGGCTACAGAAAGAAGAAGTTTCTGCGTGATGTAAGAAGGTACTACTGGGATGAACCTTACTTATACAAGAAATGTTCAGATGGAATGTTTAGAAGATGCATACCAGAGGAAGAGGTAGAAGGAATATTGTTTGCTTGTCATAGTTCTAGCTATGCAGGGCACTTTGCCACTTACAAGACAGTATCCAAGGTCCTACAAGCTGGATTTTGGTGGCCAACTATGTTTAAGGATGCTCATGCATTCATATCAAGATGTGATGCTTGCCAAAGAATGGGAAATATAAGCAAGAGGAATGAGATGCCACAGAACTTTATACTAGAAGTTGAAGTTTTTGATGTTTGGGGCATTGACTTTATGGGACCTTTCCCAACCTCTTTTGGTGACCAATACATTCTAGTGGCAGTTGATTATGTCTCCAAATGGGTGGAAGCCATTGCCAGCCCTACTAATGACGCACAAGTGGTCATCAAGATGTTTAAATCCATCATTTTTCCAAGGTTTGGAGTGCCTAGGATAGTCATAAGTGATGGAGGTTCACATTTCATAAACAGAATCTTTGCCAACCTTTTGAAGAAGCATGGAGTTACTCACAAAGTTGCCTCTCCTTACCACCCCCAAACTAGTGGACAAGTTGAGATCTCAAACAGAGAACTCAAGAGCATACTTCAGAAGACAACAGGCAAGACAAGGAAGGATTGGAGTGCCAAACTAGATGATGCTCTATGGGCATACCGCACTGCCTTCAAAACACCACTTGGTACCACCCCCTTTCATCTTGTCTATGGTAAAGCATGTCATTTACCTGTGGAGCTGGAGTACAAAGCAGCTTGGGCTATTAAGGAGTTGAACTTCAACCTAAAGACAGCAGGAGAAAGAAGATTGATTCAGCTGAATGAGCTTGATGAGATTAGGCATCTAGCTTATGAGAATTCAAAGATCTATAAGGAGAGAACCAAAGCTTTCCATGACCGCAAGATCATCCCAAAGAACTTTGCGCCAAACGACCAAGTTCTACTATTCAACTCAAGGTTGAAACTCTTTCCAGGAAAGCTTCGCTCAAGATGGTCAGGACCATTCAGGATTAAAGAAGTTCGCCCCTATGGAGCAGTGGTACTATGGGACCCAATGGGAGGAGACTTTACAGTCAATGGACAAAGGTTAAAACCCTACCTAGCTTCCACCACCATACCACAGGAGACCACACTGGCTCTTGGCGATCCACCAGATCCTTAAGGAAGTGCCATACAGTCAAGCTAATGACTTTAAACAAAGCGCTGAATGGGAGGCAACCCATTGAAGGTCATTTCTTTTCATTTTCTTTCTTTAATTTTCTTTTATTTTGAATATTACCTCTCACCTTAATGTGATTTGCTTTCACCGGGACGGTGCAAGTTAAGTCTGGGGGGAGTTTTATTGTGTTACTAATGCATTTTTCTTTCTTTTCTTATGTTTTATTCTACTTTGTTTCATGTTTTTCAAAAAGTTTTATTGAGTCAAAAACCAGTCCGGAAGTTATGAACTTGCTTTGAGAATTGAGAGTGTTGTGCTAACAATCCATGACCCTAGAGCAGAAACCAGCTAAAGGCACAAGCCTAACAGAAGCTCTTACAGTGGATCGACATGCTAGCTCAGCAAAATTTCTAAGGTAACCAAGCAATCTAGAGTTAACCTCACCTTAATCAATCTTAATTACTCTTGTCAAGGGGGTTGGCATACATGTCGACAGTTCCTTGCTTGATTTTCAATAAGATTTGTCTAATCTTTAAAGAGTTCTCCTCTCTCTCCCATCCCAAATGGTAAGTAATGTTTATGAGAAAAAGCTCAAAGAGCACAAGGAAAACAAGTAAGCATGAGGAATGCATATGTCTGTACCTTCATGTCTTATGGAATACCTTAGTCAAACAAGGAACAAGCTAAAGACTTATCCTGTGGTTGAAAGAAGGGTCAATAGAAAAAATAAAATGATACCCTAGAAAAGTAGGGAGAAATTGACCTTTCAAAGTTCTGATGTGAGAAAGAGAGAGGAAAAGAACTCATTGCACTTAAAGAGGCAATCTTGGAGAGGATCAAGTGGGTAAGAACAAGTTCAATTGATCGATGTCCCCTTGATAAAGAATTCACGCTTTAAATTTATGCAAGAGGTTAGTGATATATCCATATTTTGCATGTTTTCACTTAGTATTTTCATATGTTTTTAAGTACTTTCATAAAGGTTTTATGCCTTTGGAGGTAGTTTTCTTGTATTTGTTGGTTTTGGAGTCTTAACAGGGTAAAATATCAAAAAGGATGGAAAAAGGAGCAAAAGAGCCTCAAACCATGATCCATGAAAGTTTCCAAGTCAAGAGCATCAATTTATCTCCAAGTGACAATTCTCGCTACCGAGCAGGAACAAAGCTTCGGAAGTTTGGCCGCAAACGGAGGAGTTCCCGACGTCCAAAAGTCACGATCTTGATATGGAAAGATAGATACTTGAGTCATGCATCACGTCGAAGTGGAATGAAGTCATTTGGATCCACCATTGGGCCGGAACTTATTTTCTACCGAGACATGTCCGCTTAGCGAGCAAACGGAGCCCATGGAGGATTTGGAGTGTCTAAAGGCCCGATAAACCGCGCCCAAGGCCTTGGTTCAACAAGGGAGAGTCCTAGCTAATGTTTGGAGGCTTCCTTGGTTCAATGCCAGCCCATACACGACGTGAGAGAAGAGGCCCGGCTCATGGGAAACTTTCCTTTTCCGGCACTTCAATGCCCTAACCGACCTACAACCTATAAATACATGTTTTTAGCCTCAAAACAAAGGAGAGTCGAGGGTTTCTAGGGTTGGCCGTCAGAGAGAGAAGCCATAGGAAGCTGCGCCGTCCAGGAGGAAGAGAAAGGAGGCGCCGTTCAAGACCCTTAGTACAACATACAACCTTTGTTTTCTTTTCTTCTCATTCTTTTGTATTGGATCTAAGAGTTTCAAGGGAGAATCCGACTTTGTTCATCAATAGAGAAGCTTTCTTCATCCCTTTACCTCTTTTAATACTTTCATAATGCTTTCAATCATAACTTGTTGTGTTGTTTGCATCATGGCTGAGTAGATCCTTTGCTAGGCTAATGGTAAATCAATGAGTTCATGAATTGTCAACTTTAATCTTTTGATCTTGTGAGTTGGGATTATATTTTGAGTTCTTCACCTTTACTTGAGCATAATGCCGTTTGCTTTTCTGATCATCTAGCATCGGATCTTGGGTTAATATACTCTCCAAAAGCTTGCTATATTGCCGGAAATAGTATTTGGTGAGCAGTAGGTCATGGCCAACGAAAGTTGAGTTATGGACTATTGTGAACAATTGAATCTTGAACCTTGTAATGCATGTTTACAACTTGTAATAACCAACGAAAGCTGAGTCTATTAGGTTGTTTAAACATAGTGGTTGGAGCCACAAAAGTGGAAAGACTATACCTTAGTGATTTGAGTTCAAAAATGATAATAAATCCCTATCACTTGATTGTTTGTTGATAATTTGTGATGCTTTGCGATTTGCCTAATGCCTAGTACTTTTCCTTATTGTTTACACCTCATTCTAATCATTTCTTTTTTCTCTTTTGCTTTGCTACTCACAACATCTCTATTTTGTTCTAGCTTGAATTTCAGTCTACATAACTTTGAAGTGAAATCGCATCTCCCTGTGGTTCGACCCCGACTATACTACTGCTCTTGCTGTGCACTTGCAGCTACATTGGTTGGGTTAAAAATAGTATCATTTGAGGAAGCTAAACCCAGCCTCCATCAAGTTTTTGGCGCCGTTGCCGGGGAGATTGTTTCATTTCCTTCAAGCTTTTTTGATTGAATTCTAGTCTAGTTCTTGTTTTCTTGCAATTTACTTTTCTGTTTTTCAAAAAAAAAAAAATCATAAAAATTTGCTTACTTGTTTATCTTCTCTTTCTTTTGTTTTCAGGTGCATCACAAGAAGATCCAACTCAAAACAAGGAGACAAAGGAGAGAAAGAATGGACTTGATGAGCTTTTATGCAATGCCCCCACCGGTTAGGCGGCATCAAGAGGAAGTGAACTACATTGGTGAAAACTTCGTGTATCCTGGCCAGAACGTCTATCAAGGAGCTCAATACCAGCCTAAGAAACAAGTCTATCCTAAGGGAATCTATCAGGTGGAGCAGCCCTTCACTTTCCCTCAAGCTGTTGCACCGGCTCAACAAGAAGAGAAGTTAGATGTGGTCTTGGAAAGATATATGGAGGAGCAAAGGCAAACCACCCAGAGCCTCTATGAGAAGCTAGATCGTGTCTTCACTGATATTTGCAGCAAGTTTGGATCTCTCTCCTCTCATGTCCAGAACTTGGGGATTCAAATAGTCCAAACCGCGGAAGCCGTAGAGAAACAAAATGAGGTAAACCCTACAACATTTTGTAGCATTGTCTCACCTAAGGAAGACCAGCTCGTACCTATACCTACACCATCTCAAGAAGGAGAAGAAGAAGCTGAGCCTAAGGAGAGCCAAAAACCGGAGAGGTTTCCATGGGAGTCAAAGAGAGCATACAAGAGAAGGCTTGTGAACAAGCCATTGCCAAAGCTAGAAGATCCGGGGAAGTTTGTGATTCCTGTTTCTATCAATGGGTGTGAAATCAATGAGTGACTATGTGACACTGGAGCTGTTGTGAATCTCATGTCTTATGCATTAGCAACAGATTTGGGATTCAAATATTTTAAAGATCCTGAGGCAAAGATGGAGTTCGCGGAGCTGTCATGTGTGGAGCCCTATGGAGTTTTAGAGAATGTTATGCTGGAGATAGGAGGTCGCCTAGTCCCTACTGATTTCCAAATCATGGTATGGGAAGGATCAAAGAGGAACCAGCTGCTACTTGGAGCCCCATTCTTAGCCACAGCCGGTGCAGTCATAGACTTCATGAGAAACCGCATGTCACTAGGAAACATCCAACAAGATGTTTTCTATCAAAGCATCGACTTCAAGACTGCACCAAGAGCGATCAAGCTGCCACCAGAGAAGACTTCTAACACGCCACAGAAAGGAGCCATGATGCCTAAAGATCCCAAGAAGAGTGAGCCCTATCCAAAACCGAAGGTGGTCATGAAACCATCAATGCTGAAACATAAAGATGTCTTCAAGGATATCAACTCGGTTTTGCTCCCTACCTTGGACGAATATGGAGCTAATGAGAAGCCTTATGTAGTGCCTAATTCCCTTACCAAGATAAGAATCCTTGTCTCTGAGGGTTGGGTCTCAAAAGAAGATCATACCGCAAAGGAGAAGCTGAGGAACACCTTAAGGCTCTTCCCAAGTGCATTTGTCCTCAAAGGTGGCATAGGAGATGATGTTGGCGTGCCCAAACCACCACGTGAGACCCCTGAACCAGAGAATGGAGCAGCTAAAGGGATCCTTTGCCCTTCAGCCACTCTTCACCACTTAAAGAAAGAAAAGGAGTCAAGCTAAATGACTTAAAACAAAAGCGCTTTATGGGAGGCAACCCATATGGTTTTTAACTATTTATTTCTATTTTGCAGGAGTTTTTCAAAAATCAAACAAAAATACAAAAATATTTTCTTAGGATGAAGACCCAAAGGAGACCAAACAATGAAAGTGTCCCACCCAATGAGCCCACCCTTGTACAAGGCGTTTCTCTTAAAAGGTAAGTAAATTCTCATCTGTATTCATTTCATAATCACTGATCTTAACTTGATAATCGTTTAAACCATTGCACTTATCACAAATATTTCATGGTTTAACTTGATTTACTTTTGATGATTGAAAGAATACATAATCACTTGTCAAAACTCATTTCACTGAAATTACAAGAGATTGAACTATAGTTTGAAATTTGGATCATTAACCAAGACCAAATAAGAATTTATAGTTTGTGCTTTAACTCTCTTGGATTGTGAACTTCAAGTTGGTCACTTGAGGATCACAATCTAAGAAACCATCTAATCATGATTTCAAGTGTTTTGCAAGGAGTTAACCATTTGACAGGAAGGAGAATAAGCAAACCTATAACCAACCTCAAAACCAACATGCATATGGCGGCCAAAGGGAGGTTAAAAGGAGATACAAGGCCATCACACGAAACAAGGCGGCCACCACTTGGGAATGACACAGGAGGGTTATTAAAACAATTCGGTCGAAGAAAATCTCAATTGGCCCGAGTGGATTTGAAGAAATTCAATCCGGCACATTTCTCTCGGCCATACCGCGCACAAGGAGACCAATTACGGCCAACTCCTAAACGGCGTGACCAAAGTCCACCAAACTTCACAGGCGACCATAAAATCACATTTGGTCGGCAAATCCAAAAGATAGGACGGAGAAATCATCACGGATCATGAGATAGACGAGGAGCTCATTCTGGCCGATGGCGCGCAAGCAATATGGCCGAAAACCAAATCACGGCATAGGCGCGCCAACCGGTTGGAAAACTCTTCCTTGAGCTTAACTAACACTTTTATGCAGGAAGAAACGAAAAGGAACGAGCCAAACTTCACATGGCCAAGGAAACTCCTTCCCGGAGCCGAACTTGACCATTTTGTGAAGGAAGTCTCAATCCGCTCGTACAAATGCTCCCAAACTTCACCAGAGGCCATAAAATACCAGGTTGGTCGATGAAATTTCAATATAGGTCATGAAATTTTGACGGTTTGTTCTGTAGTTCACAGCACCACATTTTGGCCGACCGAATATACCAATCTCGGCCAAAACACAAACCGGCGGAAACCAAGGCCTGAAATTAAAAACTCACCGACCAATATTGCCTAAAGAAGTGTAGAATGACCCAAACCGGAACTGATCTTCATTATAAATTGGTCGACATTTGGTAACATCATCCTAAACCTTTTTCTTTTCAATTTTTCATTTGAACTTCATGTTATGCCTCTCTTAATCCGATTTGATTTCACCGGGACGGTGCAAGTTAAGTCTGGGGGGATTACTAACAATGTTTGTTCATTTTGGCATTTTCATTTGCATTTTTTCCCTTTTATCGAGTCGTTTTTATTGAGTCAAAATTTTTGTCGAGAATCATGACCTTATCTTGGATCTAACCATGGTTGTACTAATGTTTAAGTGACCATTGAGCAGTTCTTGGCAATACATCTTACCACAGGTGCACTATGAGTTGATCGATCTACCAAAAACGCCTACATCTCTAAAGACTTGAGAAGGATCCATCTTTGACTCCGCCCTTAATGAACTTAATCTTCTCAGCTAGGGGCTTGGCATACAAATGGCATGATTCCTCATCCTCTCCATCAAATGAAAAAGTCTTAGTGAGTTCGTGCTTCCCTCTCTCTCCCCTTCAAATTTAAAGAAAAAGCGTAAGGTCCAAGTAACCGGGGATTCGGTGGCAAACACCATCAATACTCGCGTCTATGGAAGGCCTATGAATCCAAGCAACCGGGGATTCGGTGGCAAACACCATCAATACTCGCGTCTGTGGAAGTCCAAGCAAAACCTCTATAATAAAGAGAAGGAGTTGAATAAAAAAATACTTCGCTACCCTAAAAAAGGGATGAATCAACTCAAAGAAGTGAGAAGAGAGAGAGGAGAAACATGGAGTAAAAGACAAGTGCCAAACAAGGGGATGAGAAAGAGTCTAAAGCCGGCTGATCGATACTCCCTAGTTGAGACCACACCTTTAGAAATGAAAGGAGTCAAGGGTGGCGAATTGGATTGTCCAAGGAGAGGTGGACCGCTTTGGGAAAATCGCAAAACTCATGGTATGTACTTTGTTCTTAATTCAAAACTTGCCAATGCTGTTTCATGTGGATTACTAAAGCATAAGTCAATTTGGATTTCCAAAAGATTTGAGAGTTCTCACGTTTTCAAACCTCTTTTCCTGCTTAGTTTGCTTGGGGACAAGCAAAAGGCTAAGTCTGGGGGAGTTGATATACCATATTTTACATGATTTTACTATATTTTCATATGTTTTCAAACGGTTTTTGCAAGATTTTTGCCTTTAGAGGTAGTTTTCTTGTATTTGTGGGTTTTGAGTCTTAGGTGAAATATCAAAAAGGATGCAAAAAGGAGCAAAAGAGCCTAAACCAAGATCCATGCAAGTTTCCAAGTCAAGAGCATCATTTTATCTCCAAGTGTTAGTTCTCGCTAGCGCGCAGAACGAAGCTTCGGAAGTTTGGCCGCGCGGAGGAGTTCCCGACGTCCAAAAGTTACGATCTTGATATGGAAAGATAGATACTTGAGTCATGCATCACGTCGAAGTGGAATGAAGCCATTTGGATCAACTATGAGGCCGGAACTTATTTTCTACCGAGACATGTCCGGTAAGCGAGCAAACGAAGCCCATGGAGATTTGGAGTGTCTAATGGCCCGAGCAGCAGCCCAAGGCCTTGATCGAATAGAGAAGAGGCCTGGCTAATGTTTGGAGCTTTCCTTGGTACAATGTCGGCCCATACACGACGTGGAGAAGAAGGCGGCTCATGGGAAACTTTCCTTTTCCGGCATGAAGAAAACCCTACGCGACTTCGCCCATATATACATGTTTTTAGCCTCAAACCAAAGGAGAGTCGAGGGTTTCTAGGCTTGGCCGTCAGAGAGAGAAGCCATAGGAAGCTGCGCTGTAACACCCCCGAACCGTCCTAGGCACAGACGTTCCGAGAAGCGCCACAAAATGTCGATGTTCGCCGAATAGGCCATCCCAGACTAAGAACAAATCAGAGCCCAGGTCAGCCCGTCCCACGAACTCGACCCTCTTGACCAAAGCCTAAGGCTTGCCAACCCGTACTTCGGTCAGGAGTTGTGTTAGCCCGGACCAAGCTAATATCATTGGAACATAAGGTCTTTACATAAAACTTTCCTTTATTAAAATATCAGAGTGCTTACAAAATCCGACTTAAAAACATGCGGATCGATCCTTAGTTCCAAACCAAACAACAAACCATAATTTTACAAAAACATACCACAAAACTATTCTGGCGCCTACTGCCTGCAGCGGTCCGCTCTACTTCACACCTCTACGGTCACCTGAAAACATTAAACAAAAGGAATGAGTAATCTAATATTACTCAGTGAGTCTAGGACCTCTATACAAGGGGGATTCCCTAAACTCCAAACACAAACGCCGCGGGCTTGTAATCCCGCCTCCACCTGCATTGAGGTTAGCACAACACAACATATGCAATCACATGCATTATTGATGCCATAGTCTTAAGACTAACCGTACCCCAATCAAACAAGAACAGGTACGATCAACCCAAGACTATAACAACAATCAAACAATCTATATGCAATGCCCATGCAAACCTAGACAAGTATCTAATACTTGTTTTCTATATGCAATAAGGCGCCTAGGTGCATTAGCCACATTCTCTGCCCACGCCTGTGAAGGTTCACGCTCATCCGGAATCACACAGAAACTAGATGAACGCCTTCACCCGGGCACTACAGTCCATCGCGGTACCCGGTTCATCCTTCCATCTATTGGCCTTACTGGCGCACCATGCCAATGTCTGGTTGGATCCCATATCGTCATATGGTACCATACTCGGCCAAGGCAGCTGACCAGGTTATCCTCCGAGTCTTCCTCCCTTCATGCACAGCCTCCACGCTGCCAATCCGGTTGGGCTCTGACGTGCGAGAATGCGCTTGACTACACCTTCCTAGACAACATGTGGTTAGACACGCCACATGTTCTCAGTACTTAGCATATGGGCCTTTACGCACCACTATGCCTCATACCACCGGTTCTGCGGCAGAGCTTCCCTTGCCTCGGAAGAGTACCCACACGAACCTTGAAAGATCTGGCGGCTCAGCCGTCCGTGATCTTTCCACATCGGAGTCATACTCAACATATGGGCCTTACGCACCACCATGTTAGTATGCACTCGAGGTTTAGCGGCATAGCCATGCTATAACCCCACAACCGATGCATCTATGAGATTTGGCGGCATAGCCATCCACAATCTCACATCACCTAATGTATAGATATGCATCTACACTAACAAGATCTGATGGCATAACCTTCCCCGAAGGTTACCCATCACAATCTTACACAGAAAAGAGATCTGTTGGCATATCCTTCCCCGAAGGTTACCCAACACAACCTCACACACAAAAGAGATCTGGCGGCCTAACCTTCCCCGAAGGTTACCCGACACAACCTCACAACACAAGAGATCTGATGGCATAACTTCTCTCCCTAGAAGATTACCCATCACAACCTCACAACAATGCAAACCTGCATATAAACACACAAGAGATTTGACGGCATAACTTCTCTCCTAGAAGATTACCCATCACAACCTCATAACACATTATATAAATTTCTGCAGCATAACTCTCCACAATTTTTACTAAACCTTATTGTTTAGAGAGTTATACTACAGAACCAATAACCAATATGAACAGAAAGCATCTCCTATGCTTTGGTGTTCATACAACCTGCATACACAATAGATCCAAAAACTAAAACTATAACACCAAGACTCACCACTTTAAGAAGACTTCAAGATCCTCCTAGCTTTCCTTAAGCTTTGATCTTGACCTACTCTAATCTTCCACTAACCTCACTTAATTAAGAAAACTTTCTTAATTACTCTCTAATCACTTTTCAGGTGCTCTCTAGCTTTGGGAATGGAATGGTTTGGACTTGGGGCTGGAGGAGCGTATTTATAGGAGTTCAGGAGGCTGCCTGGCTTCTTGGGACGTCTCCAGTCATGCGCAGACACATGGAGACCTAGGTCTAGCATAGCTTTGCTTGGTGGCGACCTACACTGCCTCAGAACGCGACATCCAGGCGGTCTAGGCTAGGTAGCTTTGATTGGTGGCCTCTAGGGCGTCTCAGGACATGACACACGTCATTCCTATCCCCTCTCAATGCTCATCCAATGAGCCGACTTCCCCCAAGCATGTGGTGTGTCGTGCCGATTGGATATAACTCATCTTATCCATTAAGATGCTGGGTGCTTCTGTCTGATTGGTCAGCTCTTGATCCAATCCGTTTCTGCATCTCTCCACTTGCTTCTCATCCACTCCTGAAGCTACTCTCTCTCAGTAGTTGGTGTTGCATCCTGATTCGTCCAAGTCATTTCGTCTCCATTGAGCACCTCAATGTCTCGTCTGATTGGTTTGGACGATTCTTGTCTCTCATGAGCAGCTGGGTGTCTCTCCCTGATAGCATTAGGTCTTCTTGGAGCTTATCCACGCCCTCTCTCCTCTTTAGCAGCTGGTGTCGTTGCCCAATTGGCTTAGGCTTGCTTCGTCTTCATTCGGTAGCTGGATGTTGCTACATGATTGGCTGAATGGTTTTGGCTCCATCTGAGTAGCTGCATGTCTTCTCCATATTGGTTATGATCATCCTTATCTTCTCCAAGTAGCTGGTGTCACCACTTGGTTGGCTTAGAACAAGATTGCTCCAAATGTACGTTTCCTCGTCCAGAGGGTTTCGTACGTTTCCCTGTCTGGAGGGTTTCGTCCCCGTCGTGCTTGAGAATTAAAATCTCCTATTTTAATCCTTCTCTCATTTCCATGTTTCTGAGCTTCCACATAGTTGCTTGGAAATGTGCGGAATACCTCCATCCGAACATTTACGTTTCTTGCAGTCGTTGCGCGATAGATCTTGGGCGTCCGTCCCATCTCTCAATCTGCTCGTCCGATTTGCATTCTGCTTCGACCAAACTTCTTAGAATGGTCTCTTATGTCGTCCAAACTCTTCTCTTCTTGATTTGGAGAACTTTGATATTTCGTCCGTCGGACTCTTCCCATGTTCGTACAATGATCGTCCCACCTGGACAATCTTGTTGTATCTTCAGTTCTGCTCGATCGTTCTTGATCCTGTCTTGATCCAAGTCTTCGTTGTGATCTCTGGATTAGATCCCACGTCTTTGTCTTCCAATCCCAGAGTGTTGATCTTCCCATCCCGGCCTTTGGGATGTTTTAGGTCTTGATACGGGGTATCACATGCGCCGTCCAGGAGGAAGAGAAAGGAGGCGCCGTTCAAGACCCTTAGCACAACATACAACCTTTGTTTTCTTTTCTTCTCATTCTTTTGTATTGGATCTAAGAGTTTCAAGGGAGAATCCGACTTTGTTCATTGATATACCTCTATTTTACCTACTTTTTATGCTATTTTACTATGGTTTTCTAATGGTTTTCTAGTGGATTCTTGTGTTAAAAG